AAAATTCGTCGCAACGGTTCGCCTTAACGAGGAAGGAAGCAAAGAAAAATACATGAAAAATTCAGGAAAGTTATGAGCCGAACTGCACCACGTAACGTGTTCATACTTGGTTTACCAGTTAGCGATCAGATAAGTGATTTAAACTCGTTGAACACCCCGCAATGGAGAACTGTTTGAACGGAATCATGAAGAAAACCCGTTTCTCGACAATATCTACCAAATTGGACACGTTGAAGGTCGACTAAAACCTGTAAATAGAGAAAATTCACCAGGGGTCTGCTTCCCTAGCTGAAATTCACGTGTATGAAAAAGGTGAGCATAAATCTGATGAAACATCCATGTTGTACAGTTTTATTAAAGACAATTTTTGGTAAGTAAAACTGAATCTGGCAATCGGAAAAGAAAAGAACATTTCGTTGTTTCAAACATAAGGACGGGCTTAAAAGCTACAGCAGCTTTCTTATGCGACCAATTGTCGCAGAGGGTTCAGATCACATGGCCATAAGTTTCACCATGGTGGCAGTGATATAATTCAAATCAACGGGTTAGACAACATTATGGCACCAATCTCCCTGTTCACTGACGGTTAAAGACAAAACACCACATACGGTTCGTGTAATATTTTAACATAGGAAATACACAGTCGCGCGCGCGCGACTTCTATCACCTACTGATGTTGGCAACGCATGTATTACCGACTCCTGAACAACACTTGGAACAAAACATACCTGACTTCACCAAAAAAAATTATCCATTTTACATAGCCGCCGTCGAGAAATCGACATGAACTGCAATTATTTAACAACCATTCACGGCTAAATGTTGATAAAACAAAACTGGAAAGTTTAAAGCAGTGCATTTATATACTAATTACGGTAGTCCCTGCGTTAATAAAAATTAGGGACGGATGCCTAACTGTTACAAAATGAAAGCGATCAAAACTTCAGACAAAACACGTTATGACAATTAATATTCCCTCAAGGGGTCATGGTACCAGGTAAAGTTATATAGAAGTTTATACACATGTCGATAATCAATTATAAAATTTACGACGGTCCGTAATGTTCGGATTAAAAAAGGCGGAGCAGTTAACCCATCACTACATTGTTGTTGTCATATGAATATCTGGTGGCAGAAGCAACCAATGAATCAAATGGAAGACATTATCTTTGCAGGACACAAAAGAGAAATTTGCACACAACGTCGCACAATGGTTTGAACAGATCCCGGTGATGACAACCGATATGGAAACCAAGTGGCAGCTCTTTAAGAGCAATACTTGAGGCTGACGCCGAAAGGTGCGGATTTAAACAGGTTGGCCTGCAGCCTGGAGATCAGAAAAGATCTTCCTGGTGGACACGAGAGGTACAACTGGCAGTTAAAGAGAAAAAAGCAGCGTTAAAGAAATGGCTTGGAAACAAGGAGCCATCTACTCGCGTGCGATATGTCGAGGCACACAAGGCGGCAGCCATAGCAGTGGTAAAAGCCAAAGCTGATTCCTGGGAGAAGTTCGGTGAGATGCTATAGCAGAATTTCCAGAGGGCGAACAAAGTACTCTGGCAGACCATTCGCCGGTTCTGAAGTAAAATGAAGGGCAGCCCAAGAGTCTTGAAGGACAGATCTGGACATCCTTTATTTTACGGTGGTGAAGAGAGTATTTGAGGAACTTCATAATCCCAAGTAACCGAAGGAAAACTCGCTTGTAAAGCAGCAGTAAACAGATATCAGTATATCCATTGAAGAAATTACATGAGCTGAGGAATGTGCTGGCTTACACATGTCTGTTAAACTGCGATGACAACGGGATATATACCAACGGACTGGAGAACGGGAGTTACTGTACCCCTGTTCAAGAACGGAGAC